GCCATTTGCACCAAACACGATGGATCATTAATTATGTTCTCTCTCAGTATAGCAAGTAGGGAGACTCTCATAAGTGATACATTCTAAAATATGTGTATAGAAGGCAGTTCAGGGTCATATACTCTTGCTCTAGAACCTGAGAAAACAAAATGAGGTAACATGAACCAGACTCTTACTGAAACATGGATGATTGGCAGTGTGGAGCTCACGTCTTACATTCCAAGACAGTGTATGTGTCAGATTGTCCTTTTAGAGATTGCAGTGTTTAATTTTAAATCATGCTTTCTTCACTTATTTTTTAAACTTATTTTCACATTTTGATCTGACATTGTAGAAAGCCTAGAATTTAATCACCACCAAAGAGGCAGTGTCTCAGTGGTTGACAAGGGAGATTCTAGTTCAAATTGCTGGGTTCGAATACTTGGTCTGTCATTTATTACCTGTGTGATTTAGAGCAAGTGACTTATACTTTCTTTATGGAGGTTTATTCATTTACAAAACAGAAGTGATAGTAGCTGGTACTATTATTAGTAGAATACTATAATTACAGTGAGGAATAAATAATAAATTCAAACACTAATAGTTCCTTTAGCAAAGGCTAGCTACTAATCGAAGTATTTTGTGTATATTGTCTCATTAATTCCTTATAAAAAGCCCACAAATTCTGTATTATTACCCTATTTGCAGATGAAGGAATCACAGTACAGAGATGTTGAATGATTTGCCAACCCAAGAAGACTCACCATTTGAACTCAAACAGGGGATGCACTGTCTGTCTTGCAACCAGTTTAGTTTTTGATTCTTTCATGGGTGGTTTTATTTTAAGCAACTGACAATATGAGTTCATACCTGTAAAGTGTTTAGAATGGAGTCTGGTGTGAGGAAGCGCCAGTAGGTGCTAGCTGCTGCTCCTATGACAACTATATCTACAACTTAATAGGGGTGAAACGACGAGTATCTGAAGCTGAAATGCCTTCTATACATACAACACGTAATATATGTACAAAAAACTGATGTGAAGATCAGTAAAACTGATACTTTGTGAGAAAAGTCTCTATTACAGCAGCTTACCACTAGTAGCATTCTCTGGGTTTTTTCATTGTTTTTTTTTTCTTTTAATTTATGTGGTTATTGTCTAGCTTTATGTGGTAGGTTATGAACTCCAGAAGAAAAGAAAGTGGGTATCCCTTGTTTCTGTTGTTTTACCCAGTAACTAGCAAACAGCTGGACACACTGCAGGTAATCAGTAAATATTTAAGATAAGCAAATGAGAAGAAAAGAGTCTTTCTTTCTTTTCTTTCTTTTTTTTTTTTTACCGTAGTCACTTGCACTGCCTCTGACAAAAACATTGAAATAAGAAATATTGCATTATTTTTCTAAAACCATTAGTAAGGTTTCATTCAGGCCTTTGGCATAAAGAAGGTGTGCATGATGAAACATAAACGGGGGCTTTCAGGTCCCCTTCACGGTACCAGTTCTTTTCTCCCTAAGTCTCCAACATGCTTGTCTCAAGAGTAGCTAAGAAGGCAGAGGGGTTTCTGAGAGTTACAGCCAATATGCCAGGCAGCTCCAAATCACTGTGATATACCCACCGTAATACCTGCCATAAGAAATCTGTTGGTTTTGGAGAGCAGATATTTGAATCAAAATATGAAGCTTTTTATTTCTGCATAAAGATATTTATATTAGTATATTGTGCGGAATAATACACCACCTACTTACTTACCCTCACACAGAATTTAGTATGTCTTATTCCAGCTCCATCAGATGATACTACCGAATCAGCTTCTTTCCTTTGTCTTCGGCAAGAATAAACTCTAACAGAGTACTGCTAGGTTTCTTTTAATATCTGAAATTGGACCCCAGCTTTCAAAGTCTTGAAATACAAGAATGTTATGCCAAGGACTGTAAGGAGGGAATGTAGAGCAGAGAGTGGAAAGCAATGATTTCTTAGTGGAGATTGAGATGAACACAAGAAAGGAGATATAAAGCATTTGTAAATGTCACTTTTTTGGTACTAATTTTTACCTAAATGAAAAGTGCTTAGTATTAGATTTACAGATGGATAATGATTGTATCTTCTTTAGGTATTGCTATCATTTTTATCATGTGTTTTTTATCACATATGTATATTTTAATTAGTACAGGGTCATCCATAAGCCATTATTCTAAGCCCCAGAGATGTTATTGTACCGATATATAATGCAGAAAACGATACTGTGATTTTTCAGTGAAGATGATGAACTCACATGTGTTACATTTTGTTTAACAAAACTAATTGTTGTCTTTAAGTGTGTTTGTTTACTCATTCATTCATTCTTTCTTTCTCTTGTTTAATCTCTACCCCCAATTTGGGGCTCAAACTCATGACCCCAAGATCAAGAGTTACATGCTCTTGCATTTGAGCTAGCCAAGCACCCCAATAGTTACTTGTTTTGATGCAGCTCACCTAATTTTATTTTAACAAGTCGGTATAACATAATAATATATTAATGTCCATGTGACTACAGTATAGAGAATTGTTCATTACCCTGATAGGTACGTGATTCGAGTTTTAGTAAAAAGATTGCTACTTTTATCATAGTGAAGTTTAAATCTGGATATAAATATTAAATTCTGAAGGGAAATTTAATGGACTCATGTTAAGAGAAGGAATGAATGCCAAGGGGAGAACCTCATTTCTGTGGCTATGGTAAGAGAAAAGTAGATTGAAACATTATAAATAAAGACATATAATGATTAAACTTTCACTTCCAGCTCAAGTCTAACTCTCTACTAAGTCAGATGAAATTCTCATTGCCTTTTATAATGGACTATTCTCTCATCTTAAAATTTTAGTAAGGCAATAATTATTTTAATATACATACATTGTTTTGAAATTATGCAATGTTAAAGGTTATGCTTTTTTATGCTATAGTTCACAGAAATTGAGGCTTAGCAAAGCAAATAAAAGCATATACTGTCATCAACTTTTAAAAATCTAAACATTTATTACATATGTTATTTCATAAAAATTTAAAACAATCTGAATTAAATTTCAGTCAATATATTTTTATGGTATTTTGAACTACAAGCTACTTTATAGGCATCTGCTGTTTCTTCCTTTTACATTAATTTTATTTGATTCAAAACCCCTTTTTAAATGCATGAGTTACATGTAATTAATTCTACTAACATAAAATAGAATTTTTGTGTGCTTTTAAGAACCATGTTCCTTGTGCAATATCCTTACTGGCTATAATTGTATACAGTCCTTAGTCCATTGCCTATACTGTAACCAGAATTTGAACATATTGTTCGAAAGGAAAGATGGAATTAATTTAAAATAGGTTAGATATTTTCAAAGATGGATGTCTGTAGTATAGGAATATCTATGGAAAAAATGGACTAATAACATTTTTGGAAACTGTACAGATAACACTTTTGATTTGTAGCACAAGAAATGAATTATGGTAATAAACGTAGAGAATGAAATTAACTATAGTGGCTTTTGTCCAATCAGGTCTCACTTTACAGAATAAATGTATTCTTCAAAATGTGGAAAATTTATTTTAAAAAAATCAAATCTTAGTTTACACAGAATAGCAAAACTTACTTTAAAATAAAGCTCATGTGTGGATGTGTACGTGTGTGTGTGTGTGTGTGTGTGTATTTCTTTATTCAGTGCTTTGCATCTAGTCAGATGTGGTACAAATCAGCTTTAGGAAAAAGCCTATAAAGTCCGTCTGTGTATATCCAAATCACGAATCCTAATCATGAAAGTTTTTATGTGGTTTGTATATAAAAGCATTTGTGTGTTTACATTGACATAGAAGTGACATATCACCTAGGTGTAAGGATGGTATTGGGAGAGATTTTCATAGAATTTTATTACCTGGATTAAAAGCTCCATGAGGGCAGGTATTGTTCTCTTTTGATCACTGAACTGTCCCAAACCTCTAGGACATTACAGCATGCACAGTGAGCACTCAATAAATACTTGATGAAGGAATGGATGGACAGTTTGTAAATGATCACCCTCCTTATGTTATAGATCATAAAAATGAAAATTTAGGCAGCTGTAAGTTACTTGTCTTATGTAGTGGTGGCAAAAGGCCAATATGCAGGTTCCTAAGGCAGTGGGTATTATCATTCAATAAATTATTTCACTGTTAAATTAATGATAAAAGTAAACATATAGTCAAAGTTAAATATTCTAAATGAGAACTTCCAGGCAAACATCTTACATTCTTATATTCTATATACCCCCCTATAAAAACCATTCTGTGATTTACAGGGCATTTCCACATAAGGTAAATAAACAAGTTAATATCATTTATTATGAAAATTTACTTACCCACTTGGTAAATACCTAGTAAATTTTTCAGCAGTATGCTGAATAGTGAGGATATAATTGTATGCAGACGACTGCCATGGTCCCTGTCAAATGGACATTTCCTTTTGTGACATAAAAAAATAAAACTAAGTAAACACATACGTATGCAAGATAAATCTGCCTTGTGGTAAATGCTTTGAACAAAATAAATGGAGACTGGGAGTTTGGGGATTGAATGCATTTGTTGGGGAGGCAATTTTGATAAGATGACATTTAAGCTGGGATCTGAAAGTTGCAAATTCAACTTAAGAACGAACTTCCTCATTTGGGTAGGGTCTAAAACATCTCCATAGGTAGGCATATATTCCATTGGGAAATGGAGAAGGGAGGAGTTACTATCCTATACGTTGGATTTACAACAGTCGGTGGAATTGTCAATTACTGCATCAAATAGTTAATGTCCATTTTCTGAAGTGGAAACATCCCTACCCTGTCAAGTAGTCATTATGAAACACTCATATTGTTTTATATTGTTCAGTCAGTGTTTGGGATGTTAAAATAAATGCTTAATATAAAACAAGGAAATAGAATTTTGGTAATACCCAAATGCAGTATAGTTGTATATATTAAATTTGACTCTATTTCTATTTTTATTTGATTTCTTTATTTTATACATGTTTCCCAGGATAGTCCACTGGTCTTACAGTCTGACAGGAATGTAACAGTCAATGCAAGGAATCACATGGGGCAGTTAACTGGACAGCTGACAGTAGGTGAGTGCTTTGGGGTAAAGGTTGCTCAGACCATCTTACTCCATTTAAAACTTTGTGTGATTGTTTAAATTAGGGAAAGCAAAAGTATATTATTTCTCTAATATAAAGCTGGACATTCTTTTTCATCCCAACTATCTTGCATATGATTTTATTTTTCATAAGTTAATTATGGTTTCCTCTATTTGGTAGTTCTTACTCTTGTTAATATGTTAATATAAGACAATTATATATATTTTGTTGTTATTACTCTTGAATTATGAAATGCACCAGTTTCCTAACAAATATCTCCCTAGTGTATGTTAAGTTATAGTAAACAGCCTAAAACACATGAGATATAACATCATGTGTCTATGTATCTTTTGTTTTAGGTAAATAATTTTCTAGGAAATATTATCTGCTAATGTAAATTAGAAATGACTTATTAATTGAATATAATAAATCCTAACTTATCAATTACTTATAAAGTTGGTGTTGAGATTATTTATATTTTAAGATGTTTGGGCTTTAGAAGTTATAAATATGATAATGATAAAATATTAATGTTTTCTCATTATTGTCAAATATTAGTGACTCATATCACATGGCATTATTATTTGACTCCATTTTTATAAGAAAACAGACAAATAAAAAGTCAGTTTTAATTATGTAAAATAAATAACATATGTGATTTGTGTATAACTATCAAAATATCTTTAGAATACTGAACTTTTTTGTGGGGAAATTACCTAATATTGATAATATATGTGTGTATATAAAAGTATATTATAAATAGTAAATTACAATCTTGAGGAATGAGTTGTCCTTATCTTAATGAAAAATTAATGAGCACCTTAATACAAATATATGCTTCCAATAGTTCTTTTTAAATTACACAAGAACATGGCATGTGAACTGTGAGATTTATAAACATTAATTTGTGTCTACTTACTTTGTAGGTACATGAAACACTTTCAATATGCTATTTGCTTTAATGAAGCCAAAAATACAATTTATATTTTAGTATATATGTATTTCCAAAAAATATAATTCTACTTTATTTGTAATAACTCAATTTTATTTGATATAATGTTCACATCATAGAAGTTGGTCATTAGTCATCAAGAGTCAAATAGTGGAGGATAAAAATAAAAGGAGGATAAACTGCAAAGTTGAACAATAAATATCAAAGGGCAGAGTTAGTTTTGTTTTACTTTTCTTTTTTCTTTTCTTGGTAATCTCTCTCATTTAAATTTCAGTCACACTCAATCACGTTTGGGAAATCCAGAATAGCTGCTATGTGGGTCCTTTGGCATAATCATGATAAGAAGGTCCATAATGTCACACCTATAACATCATCTGAGTAAACCTTTAATACTATTCGGATATTAAATAATTGCAATGTCATTGTTCTAAATATTTACTTTTAAAATCTGCTTTAAGTCACAATCTTATGCTTCATCTAAAATTACGTATATCAAAAAAATAAAAAATAAAATCATGTATATCATTATAATTCTCCTTATTTAATGCTCAATAAATTTTGGAGAATAAATTCACTCCTAGAAACTGCTAACTTTTAATGTCAGAATCATTTACTCATCTTGGATATCTTCACTTCCATTTATCAGAAATCAGTGACATATCCAAATTATATAGAAACCTTAATTACAGTCTATAATTTCTTATTTTTCTGTCTTTCTTCATTACTTCTTCAAAGCTTAGACTTATGGCTGCCTTAAATAAGTTTTATTATATGATAATAAGACTGTAATTTGCAAGAAATTAAACAAAGTGATACTAAGACTTAGTACTAGTTTGTTTTTCATAATTCACAATTTGAGGATTAAACACCACATAAAATAAAAACCATTATAGACAGCTTCTGCAGCAGAGTTGACTATTTGGTTTCCTCTGAGGTCTGAGGCCCTTCGTTGCGCAAGGGGATTCACAAGAGAGCCAGTCAGGCAGTGGGCATATTGAGTGGCAGGTATGTCTTAGTACTGGTCCTGTGCCTTTTCTAGCAGCTGTCAATTAGCTATATACACCTAAAATCAAATCTGTTTTACTTGTGATAAGAGAAGTTGTGCTTGATGAGAACAATTAGGCATTAAGATTCTATAAGGAGAACATTTTGGTTGTTTTCTCAGGATTTTGAGTCAATATACACTAATAACAAAGTCCATATACTGAAACAACCATTTAAAAATACTATAAGTTTATAGAGATAAAAAATTAAAATGTACATGTATACAAAAATACATTAAAAATTAGTACATCCTTTATCCATATGGAAGCTATTTGTATCCTATATAATGATTAATTAAACCATATTGACCTTTCTAGTAGTAAAGGTGTAAAGAAAAATGTGAATAATGACATGATCCTACTATGTTTAAGGAGTAACATCTGAGTTTTTTTTTATGAAAAACAAGGTTTTTTTTCTCAGATACACTGAGCAAAATGTACACATTGTTTAGAGAAAAGTGGATGACATAGTGTACATATTTTTAACAACCCTACATCAGAAGAAACATAGGCCTGCTAATAGTATGGCATGATGCTTTAAAGAATGCTCAGAGTGTGACCGCGAAATACAGTTAGATAAATTAATTGTGGGAGCAAAAAATAGAACATGTTTACTGGTTCAAGTAATTCAGGAATAAAAATTTAGGCTTATCTGCAAGAGATGATATATATGTCTATTTAGTATTCCTTACGATATATATTTTCACCTGAGCTTGTCATTGGTCAGATGAAGTGAGAGCTCAAAATGTTAGTGTTTGTGTTTGTGTCTTTTCATTTCAGAAGTGAATTGATGCTGAATTGATATCCTTTAGTGAAAACTGAAGACCCTAAGACTTTTAACTATATTGATACTCTTCTGCCCACCTTGGTATATTTCCAACATCCAAGACAGGCAAGCAGGCATGCACATGCACACACACATAACACACACACACTCAGCACATAGGCTCCCCCACAGAATTGGTATAAGGAAAGTACTGGGAAACAAAGCTAGCACAACATTTAAAGAAACACTTTGAGTCTGCTACTATACACAGATTGAGTGAGACATCGGCATTTTATCCAATGCAATGTGCTACAAGACAATTTAAGTATAGAAACTTTTTTAAAAATATTTACTAGTCACCTATCATGGCAAAATAAACCATCAGCAATGCAAGCAGTGAATAAAATTGCATAATTTCTAAAATGAATCACATAATCTTAATAATAACTATGCTACTATCAAGAATTTATTGTACCATGTTTATTATATTGTTTAAACCATGAGCATTTTTTAATGTTCCACAACTTTAATTTAATCTGTTTATCCAAAGATTTCACAATGCCTGTCACAAAACATTCTTGCTACAAAGACACTTTGATTTTGACTAATTATTAAGAGATGTTATGGAAAACCAAAAAGAATCAGGACATAAGTTCAATGAAAATTATTTTCAAACCACAGGAATATATGGATTTTCTCTAATATCAATACTGTGAGGTATGATCATGTGATTTATATATCAAAATGTTCTAGAAGAATATATTCACTTAGAATCATACCTTAGTCAGAAACTAGCTTTAGAAAGGAATTATATTTTAATAGTTAAGATCATAGATTCTGGAGCCACCTAAATCCCAGATCTGTCACTCCCAGCATTGTGGCCTTATGTACGTTACTCGGGGTGTTCTCCATTCCCTAGGCTTCCATGAGGGTAATATGAATGTCCATCTCATATAGTAGATGCGAGAATTGAGTAAGTGAACACATGTGAAGTACTTGGGAGCACTTCCTGGAGCATAGTATGCACTACATACATATTAGTTATTGTAATTTTTATTAGATCTGTAGGTAAATAATTCTATATAATTGGCCAGGCTTATTGGTTTTACTTTTCTTATCTATAAAATGAATATTTTGTTAGATTGTCACTGGTTGTTTCTTGAAAGTAAAAAATTACTTTTACCTTTAGAGAGGAAATTAGTTAATGAATCCTCTAACCCATTAAATTCCCCACTATTCACTAATCCTCACAAAATGACATCTGATTTGATTTTATGATATCTTGGCCACAAATTATAAGTACAGATTTTTCATTTAAAGTGACAAACGTAAGTAAGCACAGCTAAATCAGCATCATTGTTGCTTTAATTCTTTCACCAAATTTTGGCTTACAAAGCGGTATTTTTAATGACATCTAATCCACAAAATAATTCAACAAGTCCAATCAGTTTATTTTTGTCAATACTAAACATCAGCATGTTTTGTCCCTAAATGAATGGAGAAAATGTAGATGAGGGTTTTATAATAAATATTTAATGATCCCTAAAGTGACATGTAATCTTGCGTTAAAGCAATTACTGTGAACACCTGGGATTTGCTTAATTGACTGCAGATGGTGTAGGACATATAAAAAGTAGAAGGTTACAGATTATTCTCACGTACCAAATTTATGTTTTTTGTCATTGACTCATTTTTTTTAACTTAAAGAATGCTGTAATAGTCTGGGACAACTTAATAAGAATGAGTATTTTATGTAAAATAGTCTGTGCAAATCTGGGAGAAGGCATCAACAAAACACTTTGATTTAATACTGCACACACGTTTTAAAAGACTAAGTGCATTATTGATGTTTCAGTGTTCACTTTAAATATTAATTAATTAATTAATTCATTAAGCTAATATGAATTAATCAATTTGAGAAAATAGTACATCAAAGCAGATGACTGTGATATTAGGAGAAGGCTGGCATTCTTAAAAACTAGTAGGACCTTTAATCTGTGTAACTCAAGTGTAACAAGGAATACAGTTTCTGAAGACAATGTCCATGTTTTGAAGTTATATTACTGGAGTATTTCATTTTTTAAAAATATTTATTAAAAAAACTTTAAAAAAGATTTATTTATTTGAGAGAAAGAGCATCAAGTGAGGGGGCTGCAAGAAGGAGGGGGAGAGAATTTTGAGCAGACTCCTCACTGAGTAGGGAGCCCAGTGCAGGATTTGATCTCACAAC